TCGTCTTCTATTTCCTCGTCGTCCTCTGATTCGGCTTCCAGGGCGGCGACACGTGCAGCAGCCAATTCCACCTCCTTTCGAAGTAGCTCCTCCCGTGCCTTGGCCAGAGCCTTCTTCTTCTGCGAGGCCGTGGTGCGAACCGTGCGTGCCGTGCCGTGCTTCGGTTCCTTCTTCCTTGCTGTCTCCTCTGTCGTTCCTGTGGCTTCGGTAGTCTCCGTGGCTCCTGTGGTCGTCGTATCGCCGGACGTGTTCGTAGTCGATGTGGTGGCGGCGGTAGACGACGTGGCAGCGACAGAAGGCATTCTGACAGCCGCAGACGACGTGGTGGCAGCAACGGACGGCGTGGCAGCGACGGACAGCGTTCCGGCGGCCGTAGTCGACGTGGTGGCGGCGGACGTTGTGGCTTCGGTGACGGCGATTTTTTGTTGCGACGACTTCATGTTTCTCGTAGTCGGCATTTCAGCGATCCGGCTTCAGAATGGTCTTCCTCCAGCGATCCGGCTTCTCGATGTACCAACGGTGTTCCTCCAGCAATCCGGCTTCTCGAAGGACCACGGTGTTCCTCCAGCAATCCGGCTTCTCGAAGGACCAACGGTGTTCCTCCAGCAATCCGGCTTCTCGAAGGACCACGATGAACGGTATGGACTGCCGTTCGGTGAGCGTGGACTGTAGGGGCGTTGGTTCAGGCTGGAGTGAAACACAGGGATTACTATTCTGAAGCCTCCGGTACCGTCTGAAGAGAGTATTTTTTCTTCTTGTCCTATTTCTTCTCGAGTGTAGTGTGTCGCTGCCCGGAAGCGAATGCCGCTCGACGAGAGGCGGCCTATCTTTATACCCGCCCGCTCGCATGATAACGTTTCCAACTCGCGTTAGCGAATCTGCGCGAGCGGGACGGGGCGAGAAAGAACGAGACGCGTGTCTCTTCAGATCGGTACTCTATAGCGTTTATTTATTGCAATTTACAATTTCTTAATTCTATTTATTGTTACAATTTCTATTTCTATTCGTAGGTAATAAGGACAACACACAAAGGAATACTTTATTTAACTTACACTATCTTAAATCTATGTAAAATCTATATAAAATAACAGAATACAGAAACGATTAACTAGGGACTTAACAACTATAAATTACGATTACATATATACAAATAATGTCGCGAACACTAACAGAAACGCGAATCATGCGATAAATGAAATATACAAATTTTATGTCAAATTGCACGTTTCGAAGACCATTTTTTTAGCAAAAATAAAATTCAATATATTTATTATTTTATACAATATTACCTAGAGGTCCCAAAAAAGCTTGTTTAATTATTAATTTCGAGTCTCAATTTATTTCGTAATATTTTTGATACTGAACACAACACCAACACACTTTTCGTTTTCAACACTTCCCGTAATATCTGGTCAATTTCTAGAGTAGACCTCGTAATAGAGTCAATATTAATTATAAGTAATTCTCACGTCAAAATAAAAAAGAAATATGTGATACAAAGTTTAAACTGTTCTACAAATAGTTTAGATGGCAGCCATTTTCATTGTATTTAACAGTATTTTTGTTAGTTAAGTTGGCACTATTATGTTTTGATCACTTAAGTAAACGTTGGCATGATGTTTTCAGATAACATTTAATGATAATATGGAAGTAACGCAAGACTGGTAATGAATAGATAACGACTGATATAATTAAGTATGTACGTTATATTATAGTGGAAGCTAAAAACAAGGAATTACATAGAAAGAATGATAAAATAAAAACTGTAAAGCATATGATTGCCTCCTTTCTTCTTATGCAAATATAATTAGTAAAAGGAGGATGAAAGATACTGTTGTGTATTAATTCATAGCAGGCTAGTCTATAAAAAATCTTATTTGGACGTATAACCCTACCAAATTCAGATACAACCTGCTTGCATACTTTTTACATAAACTGTGTCAAATATATAATTTAGTAATGTAAAATTTGTCATTGATAAATAATTGACATAACAAATATTTTTTATACACGATGATGTATCTTTCGTTTTCTTTTTACTAATTATATCTGCATAAGAAGAAAGGAGGCAATCATATGATTTACAGTTTTTTTTTTATCATTCTATGTAATTCCTTCTTTTTAAGGTGCTTGTATAGATATATAATTAGTACGGAGATAAGAATGTTATCCAATGTCTATGGTGTCTACGACAGTGGGCAAAGATTATAGGCGTATATAAATTTTAGCTTTCGATGTGCGATAATGAAGTCGATTCAGAAACTTATACATATTATAATTTGATAGTTTCGAGAAGTTGCTGTTTTATGAATTATTATAAACTAAATTATAATTTGAACAAATCTATTTTGTTTTTAATTAAGTTTTTATAATAACTAAAACTGTTTACGTACTGAAATGTTAATCATGAATACGTTACGTATAAATCTAACACCAATTTTTTTGCCACATAAATCCAAATTTTCGGCAATGGTTTAATTAGTCGATTGTTGCATGATGAATATTTTAGTTACATAGCAGAGCAATTTTGAGAGTTTCTTATTTCTTTTGTTCTAAATACTGTTTAATCAGTTCGCCTGCGTAACTCAATACCTGTCTTTATTTAGCGTACTCAAACTCTCAATAGTTTTAAAACCTCCGTTAAATCCTTAGGTTATATCCTACTACTACTACTACTAATTGTCGAATTAGTTGACTCGTTTTTTTTATCAGTGGTCTATACTTACGCACATAGTGTATCTTGACGTATCTATATTTAATGATTTAATAAATAAAATGATCTTGTACGCATTAAAAAGATGCAAAAATTAAAAATCAAAATAAATATGGAAGTTATAAAGGAAACACTCATAACTATCACGCAAAATTGTATAAAATAGTTGACCCGCTTTTTTCGAAGCTTTTGTATGGAGGCACTCTATCTATATAATCTAGTACGAATGCTATTAAGAATAGTAGGTAGGTAATTTAGATGATATAGACAGAGTATCGAGTGTCAGAAACATGTCAGTTAATTTGACTTTTTTTTATGCAACTTAGAATCCCATATAAGTTGACGGCCCACTTGATAGAAAGCAGTAACTGTCGCCTATAGATATGAACAGTACCATGGACATAATAAAACTATTTCTCCCATGATACACATCATCCGTTGCCATTCCTGAGGAGTAAGGTGTTATGCCTCTGTACTCTGTAAATTCACTGCCATATCTCACCCCTACAAGCGAAACACAGTCATGTAAACACAACTGCCTCACAATAAAAACATTAATGGGATAGAAGTAGCCAAGCAAATGACTTTTGTACAAAGTCTCCCTCTGATAACCTCTGGTACCTTTGGCTAAGTTTCGTATATTATTGCTAATATTTAGCTAATTTGCATTGGTTTGGCAGTTTAGTCCAGTGTGATCAAAATCGAGTTTAGTTTGGCCAAGTTTAGTCCAATTTCTTCAAGTTTGGCCAAATTTGACCATGTCAAACATGTTCAAATTTGGTCAAACTGGCAAGTGTGATCTAGTTTAGTCTATTATTTTTTCAGTAGAATTTTAATTTATTAATTAATAATATTATAATATATTTCATAATCTACAATTCCAAATATTTCAAAATTATTCTTTTATAATTAAAAAATAGTTTTAAAATGAAATTATGAAATTATATCAAAATCATCTAAAATGTGAACATCATAACAAGGTCTCAAATTGAGAATGTCCTCGTTTTGAAGTTACTAAAAGTAAATGTTGTCACATTTACTTATCTTTGCAACGAAGGTGGCATGACAACAGATTTCAATAAGCGATAAACCACAGTATGAGTTTAATTTGCAGAGCTGTAGTTTGTTATATATATATATATATATATATATATATATATATATATATATATATATATATATATATAAATACGCTATGGGTCATACATAATTATTAATCGCAGAATGCATGGCTCTGCACGGTTCTTTCTTGGTGCCCCCTTGGTCCTGTAAGGCCGTTTTTGTCATTATAACATTATATAATTAGGCGGGAAAAGGCACTGTTAGTAATGAAGATTTAATAGCTCCATTGCTAGCAATATATCTTATCAGATCGATCTCCACGCGGTTCCCCTAGGAAACCGTTTTCGTTATTTTTAGTCGAATTCGTCACGATGAACTAACTAATTTGTTTTCAAATTCATCTTTCATCTTTTACCAGCCCCGCCAGCGTATACCGATAGTACAGACGGGGTTAGAATTCCATTATTACACATTAAAAACAAAGACATGGGTAAGCGGGATGCGTGCTTAACTTTGTATAGGTACCTACCTAGCTGTGACGTCTTTTCATATTTAACTTTAGTTCCCACTAGGATTTACTAAATGGCACAATAATTTTATAAACTTCTTTGGTCAGGAATGAAGTAACATAAAATAAACAGAAACGAACAGACAAAAGTAAGGAATAGGAAAAAAGAAGAAACTCCCGCTCGTAATATTCTCATTACAACATTTTTTTTTTTATTTTCTGTGCGAAACCCTGAGATTGTGCTTAGTTTCCTGTATGACTTACGTTTAGTTAAGGGTAAGTCGAATTTAAACGTAAGGCTTCTACCGAGAATCGAAATGTGTCTTACCTCTCCAAGAGGATGGAGATTTGTTCTAGGAGATTTGTAGCTCAATGTAAAAAATAATACTCGGACTTACAAATCGCAAAGCTTGTGAGTTTGAATTTAGTTAAAATTATGTTTGACAATTTCAAAATAATAAATTAATCCAAATAACGGCGACAGGCTAGCCAATTACTACATTCGATGATTATATTTTAAGAAGTTCGACGAAATGTGAAAATGTCGAGTGTTCACCATAAGGGCAATAGTTGACAAAATGCCTCTGACATACAAAATAGCTCTTCATAAGAAATGATAGTAGTGATTTTATAAGTAGATATTCAGTATTTAAAATACAATAGTTACATGTCTTTGAAATGAAAGTGTGCCGTAGATTTTGCTGTAAAAATCTTTATTTATGTTAGAAGTGAAAGAATGTAATAAAAATCTAGGTACTTAAATATAGAGGCCAGAAGCCAGCCACATCTAGGTAGTTTGTTAGACTCAAGTTGTTGACAGTTACAAAAATATCTACACTACAAACCCAGTCTGCGGTGGACCGCTTAGGAAACAAGTTTCTTTATGAATTCATAGTAAGCATTTAAACAATTTAAGTACATAATACATTAAATATATTTTTTTAATATTAGGTAAGTATTGAAGATTTACAGCCGTTGCTTTTGAAATACAATAGGCGTTTTAATAACAAACATTAATTTTCTATTTCAGATTGAACCTGGTTAATCATTGAATCTCATCAATATTGACTACTAAGCAATGATCAATGAAACTTATCAGTGGGAATTTGTTCACAATTTAACTTCAGAATTCATTGAAGATGATAATTTATATTCACTCAATTCAACTTTAGAAACCAAACTGTCATGTGGTTCTGGAAATGACTATTTATATAACTCAAGTTTTGGAATTGAAACTGCGGTTCCGGAATGGGAAGCAGTGACGACAGTATTGATATTATCGATAGTAATACTCGGTACTATTTCTGGGAATATTCTTGTAATATTGAGTGTTTTTACATACAAACCTTTACGGATAGTGCAAAATTTTTTTATAGTGTCATTAGCAGCAGCTGATTTAGCAGTGGCGGTGTTAGTGATGCCACTTAACGTGGCATATTCAACTTTGGGTAGATGGATTTTAGGCAAACATTTGTGCAAAATGTGGCTTACCTGTGACATAATGAGCTGTACGTCATCCATTTTAAATCTATGTGCTATAGCTCTGGACCGATATTGGGCAATTACCGATCCAATAAATTATGCTAATAAAAGAACTTTAAAGAGAGTGATTCTCCAAATAACTGGAGTTTGGATTTTGTCGCTTATTATAAGCTCTCCACCTCTTTTAGGATGGAATGATTGGCCAGAAGAGTTCACTACTGAGACTCCTTGTCAGTTAACCTCAGAACCAAGTTACGTGATATATTCCTCCTTTGGTTCATTCTTCATTCCTTTGTTTATAATGACTATAGTATACATAAAAATTTATGTAGCCACTAGGAAAAGATTGAGAAAGCGTTTATTAGTGTCACGAATACAGAAACCAGTAGTTAATGGCTTAAATCAAGAAGAGAGTCAAGAAAGAGATGAATCGGATAATGATTCCGATAGCGGAGAAAGCTTTAAACGGCAACGAAGAGCCTTTATAGATTTTAAGAAAAATTTTTTTGTACCTCTTTTGTTAATGAATGATTCAGTATCAAGACAAAGAATTGAAACCAACATTCAACCACTACAAGCTGAGTCTTCGACAGATGACTGTAAAAATTACACTACGAAAGTACTGGGATCATTCAGAAAGTTAAGTAATAAAAAGAAAAAATATGAAAAGCCTTTGTTATCAAGTGTTACCAAAAGTGGTGATATGGTTCATCAATTCATAGAGCAAAAACAGAAGATATCTTTGTCAAAGGAGAGACGTGCTGCTCGGACTCTTGGTGTGATTATGGGCGTGTTTGTTATTTGCTGGTTACCGTTTTTTGTTGTGTATTTGGTATTACCTTTTTGTCCCTGGTGTTGTCCCACTAATCGATTAATCAATTTCATAACATGGCTTGGCTATATAAATTCGACTGTTAACCCTATAATTTATACCATATTTAATTTAGAATTTAGGAAAGCCTTTAAAAGATTATTAGGAATAAGGTAATTCACAAAATTCAAGGTGATTTTGTAAATACATATTTGGGTGTAGGTTTAAGTACCTAATTGACAATGTCTATATCATGTAGAGAAAACAAAGTTACGCATTTATGAAAAAAAGTATTGTTTTTTTTGTTAATAATAATGGCTCAAGTAAAATTGTAAAATATTATCAAGTGGCAGTAGTAGAACGTAAGTAAATATAAATTTTATTTATTAAAAATAATAGATATGTTATCCAATAACATAGTGTATATTTTAGTATATATTAGAAAATATTTTATTAGCTTAATGTAGATATCGGAGAATAATAAAAACTGGCCACTGAAAATTGTGTCATTCTTATTTAGAGTTCAGTGCTATTTTCTTATAAAATAGAACAGTGAAGCTTAGCATTCATCTAATTGTGCCCCAACAATAACGAGAAGTAGCTGACTTGAGGTTTTGTCAAGTACTCCTATGTTTTGTTAGCTGACGAATGAGTCGCCCTTAGCTAGTCTTGAAATATATAACCTGCGAGACGCGGTGTGTTTGTACATAAATATGTAGTACACAAAATGACTAACTATAGTGTATTTACCACTTATTGTTCACGAATTGTAGTTACGATCGTTTCCATTATCCTTCTTTTAGTAAAAAAAATTAAAACCTATTTTAAGGTCATGGAAGTAGCTTTTTTGTGCTACTTGAAATGGCAAAATAAGAGAACGGCTCATATGATGGATAGTGGTAATCGTCGCTGATAAACATGTACAATGCTATGTATGCATATGTCACAGTATAGGTACACTGTAAGTTCTGTAACTAGGCTCAAAATATTTCACATTGAGCATGTGAAATTTCGTAAGATATATGAAGTCATAAGTCACTACAGGTATGTTGCTTCATATACAATGCAGTAGTAGTAGTAGTAGCAGTTTTAATTGAAATTGCAGATAATCGCTGCGTTTGGATTCATTCGTGAGCCATATTCTGCGCGGGGTTTGTAACTTAGTATAACGATTCTACTATTGTCTATCTTGCTGTAACATATTGGTTATTATTGTTCCTCTCTTTTGCATTGCCAATCTATACACTTCATTATCTAAGGTTAGTAGTGAAATGAAATCGCAGCGGATGGCTAACTGGACCATACAGAGTAAGTCTCTATTCTCTCGCTCTGTATGGTCCAGTATCAGAATAAAAATCATTACTGTTGTTAACACACACACACACACACACACAGACACATACACATGCACGCACACGCACACGCATACGCACACGCACACGCACACACACACTCACACGCACACGCACACGCACACGCACACGCACACGCACACGCACACGCACACGCACACGCACACGCACACGCACACGCACACGCACACGCACACGCACACGCACACGCACACACACACACACAATCGACACATTGTTACAAGTAATATCAATGTAAAAAAATAATATCTATGTGTGTCTAATATCTTGTGTTACCCTTAATATACTGACATTTATAAGAACTAAGCTGTTATGTTTCGTGCTTTGTAATTTTAATACATTAATCTTTTAGAATAAAACATACCATGCAAACATAGCTACGAGTACTTACTGAGCGAAAAGACACGAGTTTTATATAAATTCATACTGTATTTGTATTGGGGGGAAAGGGGTTGTTAGCAATGTAATTTGACAGTCCCATTGCTAGCAATATGTCCTGTTAGGTCGACCTCCACGTGGTTCCCCCTGGAAACCATCGTGAACAATTCTTGTTGAATTCGTCACGATGGGCTAACTGACCTGCTTCATCCTCACCTATTATCCTTCACTGGTGCCCCGCCAGCGTATCCCGTTAGCGCAGGTGGGGTAATCTTTCCATTTTCACCTGTCAAAAAAAAACTGTACTTGTATTGGACATTTTCTAAATTACTATGAATAAAAGTAATAAATTATGTCAGTTAAAATAGATAGGTTGATTGGGGATTTCACTTTTTTATCCTGACTGATAAAAGAAAGTAAATAAAAAGTTTGAATTTTCAAGGTGTTTAAATTTTTGGTTTACACACGAACTAAATTTAATTACCTAGATATAACCCTTTCAGCTGTTTGAACATCTAATAACGTGATAACTGCAATATAAATGAGCATCCTGCCAAGGTTTTCCCTAGAGATTACAGTATGTAGTTCTTCAAAAAGGGTGTAAGTATTAAGGTTTCTTCGGGGTCGGTAATGCAAATGTGATACCCCTGGTGATGTAATTATCCATAAGCTACAGTGTCCGTTTACAAATAGATGCGCTATATGCTTGTTTGCCACTTTCCTGGTATAAAAAAAAATATATTAAATTGTTTAATGTACAATGAAATTGTTTCTAAATCTATATTATAAACACAAAAACCGACAATTGCATATAAAAGAGGGCAAAAAATAGTAAGAAAGTAATTATTATAGTTTTCAATTAAAATATTATAAAATTGCCAATTTTTCTTAAATAATAGTAGTTTTTTGCTTTCCAGAAAAGTAATGATTTTGAACTGTACCTTTTCTCACTAGATCCCTACATACACATAATTCACATTTATATTTTTAGTAGAATTATACATTTATTCTTAATCTTATTTTTGAACGCCATCATGATTAATTCTTTGTGAATTCGTAACTATGGGCTAACGGACTTGCTTTTATCCTCATCTGTCATCGTTCACTGGTATCCCGCCAGCATATACCGATAATGCAGGCAGAGTTAACATTCGTAACATTATCATTCCGTAAGAAAAATCTTCTGGTCTTTCTCGACAGATTGCAACGTCGTGCCCACTGTATTATTAACAATCCAGATGCTGTTATCACACTTGAGTCTCTTCATGTGTATTGTGATAGGCAGTTTGAGTGTCTTTTATTGTCTGTACCATGGGGAGGGCTCTGAAGAACTTTTTAATTTAATCTATTCCTCCCCCTTCCTTTCTAAATCAACACGTATTAGGCTCTAACACCACCCACACGCAATACAAGCGTTGACTGTCCGCACCGAAAGATTCACGGATTTGTATCTTTGTCGAATTATTAATTTTGGAATTCTCTTCCCGGTCACGTGTTTTCTCCTACGTATAATCCTGTGGCATTTGAGCAAGGCGTGAAGTAATGCATTTGTACAGAATATAACATGCTGTGATGGTGATTGTCGCGTTTGCATCACATTACCTGCTTATTATCGAATGAGGTATGGTCACTTTGGCTAATCTCTATATAAAAAAAGTATCATTAGAGTAAAATAGTAGGTATTCTAGTACTTATTACTGTAGATATCACGTGATGATTTCGTCTGACATGAATATTCAGCTAATGAAAGTTATCAATCATTGTGCTATATGTCAGCGCATCACTTGCTAAAGACACCTATATGATAAATTGCTTCAAATTGGCTTCTATATACATGTATTAAGTATTACAAATTATTCATTATCGTTATATTTAGCTAAGCTTTAAGAAAATCTTCAGTCTGAGAACAGAAATTGGGTGCTTCTCCTAGAATTAGCTTCTATCACTAGCTTATACTAAATTAACTTTTAAAGCTAGTATTAAGTTTCAGCATATAAACATCACGTAAATATGTATATGTTTGTGTTCATATACATATCTACGCTCGTTATAATGTAAAATAATAAGGCATCTATATTATTTACGTAGTATTTTAAATGCCTTATATTTTTCTATATTTTAATTAAACTTGGTGGGTGGTTGATGGTATTTAGTGACATAATATTAACATTTAATATAACATAATGACAGCAAACGTCTACTGTATAAAAGATAATTTATTAAATAACATTTAATTAATTTCACGTAGCTATGAACTTTGTACGTGTTTATGATGTAATCCATCGTTGTAAATATAAATTTGCATTTCATAAGCTCGTACAGATTATCCCAGCAACACACAATGTTTTATTTGGTGATACAGACTGACATAAATCGCAATATACAAATGGCCGTTACCGTTTTATTTATTTACAGCAGCAACAGTTTAGTGTTGTTGTTTCTAGGTATCTACATTTACACTTGTTTGACTATGGGATTGAATGCTACGTGTTTAACGTCAGGGTGTAAAGACTAAACTGGACATGACTAGCTATGTAATAGCTGTACCTAGTGCTCTAGTATTATTTTCACTAGTTTTCTGCTTGAATACCTAAATAGATTCTTCATACTGACCAGATTTAAATTTCTTCGTTATACTTAATCGGTAATTAATCACTGTATACTGTTATTACCGTTAGCATATGCAGGTACATCATAGTGTCTTAATACATTGAAAAAAGAAGAAAATTGGTCGAGTGCGAGTTGACTTGCGCACGGAGGGTTCAGTACAAATTATAATTGAATTAAAGAAATTGCAAAATCTTTTATTTTATTTATTTATTTATTTATTTTGTGATACATAGGTAACAATGGATGGTAAAAACAATATAAGTCCTCTATGATCAACCCCATCTATCGAGGTATACAAATTTACAATTACATAAGAAAAAAATTATATTATATAAAAAGAAAAATCAGTAATGTCACATTTATAGTAAAAAAATATAATTATGGAACTTTATTACTTTATTACTTTATTTTATTTTATCTTCAAGGAAATCGTCAATTGAATAGTATGTTCTGTTTACTAGGTATTCATACAGTTTAGTTTTATATTTTTTTATGTCATCTATGTCTGTGAGGGATTTAGGTAATTTATTATATATCCTAGGTGCCATCCCTAAGACACTTTTAGTAAATAATGTCGTTCTATGTTGTTTTGGAATGATTTTGTGGTGTTGTCTATTATTTTTTAACGTGTTATATTTATTTAAATTATTTTTAACGAATAACGCCAGCTCAAAAATGTATAACGCAGGTAATGTCAATATGTTGTGTTTTTTGAATAGAGGCTTACAGCTGTCTACCGATTTAATATTGCAAGCTGCCCTTAGACATCTCTTTTGAGCTTTAAAAGCAAGGTTTCGGTCAGTAGAATTGCCCCAGAAAATTATACCATAGCGTATTGTTGAGGTTACATAAGCATGGTAAGCCAGTAGTACTGTATTTTGGTTAACTTCTTTATTTAGTTTATATAGTACAAATGCGTACTGACTTAATTTGCTACATATTTTGTTAATGTGTATTTTCCACGTCATTTTATTATCTATCCACAGTCCCAGAAATTTTGTCGTGTTCGTTTCATCTATTTTTTGTCCAGCATATTGAATTTCAAGTTTATTACGTTCTATTCTTTGTTCAAATGTCATAATTTTAGTTTTTCCTATATTAATTTTTAAATTATTGTCAACTAACCATAGTATAATCTCTTTTATAGTGTTGTTTATTTCCGATTCAAACTTGTTTAGGTTCTTGGCACTGAATAGTATAGTACTATCATCCGCAAATAATACTATTGGATAGTTTATGACTTTAGGCATATCATTGATATATATTAAAAACAACAATGGTCCCAAAATACTACCTTGAGGAACGCCGAAATGAATATCCTTTTGTTCTGAATGATAGTACTTCATAATTTTTGTACGTCTACATATACAATTTACACATGTGATTTGTTTCCTGTGAGTTAGATATGATTTTATTAAATCTAGA